AGACGAGAGTGCATGCCACGCAGGCGCGGCAGGGAGGGGTGACCAAGACGGTGGTGCCAGAGGAGAGTCTGGTGCGTGAGTAGCCGACACGAGCAAGACGCAGCTAACTGACCCGACACAGCCACCTGATTGGACGCAGCCACCTGACCTGACGCAGCCACCTGTGCAAACTCAGTGGTCAGTGTGTACAGGCTAGACCCAGGCCTCCGAGTGAACGTGGCGAGGTGCTCGCCAGTGCGTGAGTCCGAACATATCGCCACACGCTCACCTCCAGGAGTAAAGGTACTGGCCAACTCGTCCTGGAGGACAGCTCGTCGTAGAGAACGAGGGGAGGTGGAGACCTGGGAGAGAGCCAGAGGGGATCGCCGGACAAGGGAGGACAATGGAGGCTCGTGCAACGCCTGGGCCCCCAGAGGGGTCAGCCAGAGAGACTGAGACAGGTGCTGTGAGCGGTGTGACTCTGGTGCAATCGCGAAAGAAGCAGTGAGACGCTCCTGAGTCAAGTGTGAAGGTGTGCAAGGCCTCAGCAGAAGCAGTACCTGCGGCAGCAGACTCACAAGCACCTAGAGCAGCAGCCTCTACACCAGCAGCGCGCGGCACACATGAGTAACAGTCACCCTCAACACTAGCAGAACTAGCATACATAGCATAGAGTCCAACCTTGATCTTGGCAAAGTCAAGAGCAAACGCATCCACCCCCTTCCCCAGCAATCCTAACCAGTTGGGGATCTCCTGCTCATCTCCGTACTCGGTGCGCCATGCATCCTCGAGGCGGCAGAAGCAACGGTGCTCAGTGTGCCCAATCTTCCCGCAGGGCTGGCCAATCCTGGGACCGGAGAGCCTGATGTACGGGCAACGAACACTACCCTAAGAGGATCCACGCTGGACAACCCACTCACGAAGCTCCTGAGGGGTGCGTGGCTCCTGCTGGCGTCCACCCCCAGTGCCTCCGCCGCCACGAGCTGCACCCCCAGTCGCCGCCCCATAGCCTCCACCCCTGCCAGCTCCACCCCGACCGCCATCCGAGCCCCCTCTGCCCACTCCACCGCCTCCACCACCCCCGCCACCTCCACTGCCGCCACCACCGCCTCCACCCCCGCCACCACCACCGCCTCCACCCCCACCACCACCACCGCCACCACCCCCGCCACCACCTCCGCTAGTGCCCCCCCCACCACCCTTACCCCCCTTGCCCTTGCCGCTGCGGCGCCTCCCACTAAGAGCAGACGCAGCACCGACCTCCTCAGTACGAAGGAAGTCAACAGCAGCAGCAATAGCAACGGAGGGCGCGAGAGGGGAGGGAGAACATCCCTCAAAGAGGGGGCAGCGGGGAGTGCCACGAGAGGCAGCTACAGCGACAGTACTGGTCTCGGCCTCGAGGAGATGCTTCTCCAGCAAGGCAAGGGTGATCTCGGTGGGGTCAAGAGCAAGGAAGTGATCCCTAACGGCGCGGAGGGAGTCAGGGAGGCGGGTAACGAGGTAGTAGAGAGTGATGTACATCGGAGGCGGGTTCGTAACCAGAAAGGTCGGCTTGAGAGCGGCACGGTAGCGAGCGTCACTAGAGCGAAGGTGGGTCATGAGGTCAGCAACAGTGTGGAAATCCGACAGCTCAGGAAAGAGGTACGGCAGCATGATACGGCCTAGGGCAGCAGTAGAGGGGGAGGAGTAACGAGCAACTACGGCGTCATAGAGTTCCTTCGCCGTCTTAAGCTGGCCAAAATGGACTCGTTCCTCTAGCGGGAGGGCATTGCAGACAGAAAGGCGGGCGGCAGCATCGCGGGTGAGCCACTGAGTACGAAGAACACGCTCAGCTGACTCCTCAGTGGCAAGGCAAGAACCGACGTGTGCTCTAACAGTGAAACGTCCTCCCCACCGATGCTCTGCAGGTACAGCTGGAGATCCTCGAGCCAGCAGTCAAACCTAATCGGGCGACCCTCCGCGTCAAAGGTAAGGACATTAAGCGTAGCCATAGTGGGCAGTAGCAGTGGCTGCAGTAGCAGCAGCAGCAGCAGCAGTAGCAGCGGCAGTAGCGAACAGGTAAGGCAGCAAAGCAGCTCGGCAGGGCAGCTAGGCAGGGCGGCTCAGCTGGGCGGTTCGGCAGGGCGGCGCGGCTCGGCTGGGCGGTTCGGCGCGGGCGGCGCGGCGCGGCTCGGGCAGGGCGGCGCGGCTCGGCAGGGCAGGGCGGCGGCGGCAGCAGCTTAGCAGCTGCAGCAGCGCGGGCGGCGGCAGCAGCTTAGCAGCAGCTGCAGCGTGTGGAGGGCGCGGGCTGTGCGCGGGCGCGGGCTGTGCACAAGCAGGGTGCGGGCTGTGCGGGCCGTAGGGGCAGCGTGCGGGCGGCGCCAGCAGCGTACGGGCGGCGCCAGCAGCGTGTGGGCAGTGCGCAGGCAGGGCTCGCGGTGCGCGGGCAGGGCGCCGGCAGTGCAGGCAGCGCGCGGGCAGATCGCGGGCGGGGCGAGCAGCACGCGGGCAGCAACTGCAACGCGCAGGCGGTGGAGGCAGCGCGCGGGCAGCGGGCGTAGCGTGCAGGCAGCGGGCGTAGCGTGCGGGCAGGGCGTGCGGCGAGCACAGGCAGCGCGCGTGCAGGCAGCGCGAGCAGGGCGCGAGCAGGGCAGCGTGCGGGTCGCGCGCTGGGCAGCAAGCGTGCAGCGCGAAGGGCAGGGCAGAGCGCGTGGGGTAGCGCAGGCAGGGCAGCGTGAGGGACGCTGTTCGGGCAGGGCAGGTCGGGCAGTTCGGGCAGTTCTAGCAGTTCGAAACTAGCGGTGGGCCCTAACGGAGCGGTACTACGGATGGACCCGCTCTGAATACCATGACGGAAATGACGTGCAGGAATGATTGTCTAGAAGCATGAGATGAGTACAAGTACTAGGTCTAACCCTAAAGCGTTGTACTTAGTAGAGGCTACCCCACTACAGCCTACAGATATACAAAACACAGTTTGACAAGGACTGCTTGCTGCAAGCTCGTATGCGTTGGCAGGATCCTACCTCGCCACCGTTTGCCATCTTGCACACTAACTGTGCAACACGGGCAAGCAGCAATTATGTGCTGGCACGATGGATTTAATTACGTTGTAAATGCAACCCTCGAGATATCGAAAGGTATGGTGGGTCGGTGGGATTTATCGATTTCTGGCGAAAAAAAACCCCGGGGATTTTCGAAAATTCAATCGAAGTGTACAAGCAAATATAAAAATACTAACGAAGTCCAATGAAGAGCAAAACGTGGTTATGATGTCGACGGCTCTGCGTCGCATCACGATCGTTATTAAAAATTTATACTTATAGGCTGGAGTGGGCTATTATGAAAGAGATGTAGCATATAAGGTTATGCACCGCTATCTTAATCACGCTATCGGGTAATCGTGCCAACAGCACCATTTTATCTACTGATTGTGCTTGTAAATTTACCTTCTAATTATCATAGAGTATCTTGCAGTGGACCTTGCTACCACCCACCAAGTGCTGATTCCCGCCAATTTTGGAGGCGCGCAAATTGTTTTGTGAAGACGAGGCGCCTTGGGGTTTGAGGAGGTCAGAACAACAAGCTGAGGAAACGGACGAGAATCGAAGCAGGCGTACCACACAGCTCCACAGCAGGCTCACACCCGGCCGTTCAGTGCGGTTCCGCCTGGTTCTTGCACGTAGCTACCGGTTTGGAACGCGATGCACTCAACAGAGCCACTCAACGAACCCGCGCAACACCTCCTGGCCTGGTGCTCCCCTGAAACCATGCGTACGCTACGCACTCTTGAGCTTCGCCGTGTAAAACCAGCAATCAAGGTTTGGAATCCATCCTCACCGTAGAAATCGTCGAATCGCTTCTTGAATTTCGCCGTTTGTTGGCAAGGCTGCCGCTTGCGCTACCCTTGGGAGTATTCCGCCGCCCGCCTGCCACCTGCACCAATCGCAGTTTGTTTCATGTTTCAGGCCGATCCCTGACAGAAACTCTTCCTCGATTTCCCACCAGCTGTTTCCCACAGCCGGTTGGGAGGGAGGGACGGGGGTGAGGTACAGTGAAGAAACGAACGCGTTGGTGTTGCTCACTCACAGACTTGTGAGACTCTCCTTCACTAGCTTTTCTCCCCAACCAATATCCTGCTTGCTCACGTTCATCCGGTTTAGGAATTCGACGGTATCAGATTCTCATTTCCCAGAATTTATGCTGTCTGAAGTCGTGGACTAGGTATACGTACTTCGTGTCAAAAAAGAGCGTCTTAGGATCTTTTCCAAGAACCAGCGCAGCGTTACTAGTCCCGCATGAAGACTGGAGCGAACTTAGCTACCATTGTTGTCGCACATACTCGCACCTGTATTGAAGGCGTTGTCTTGCTCTGACAAGTCTGTCAAGCACAACTCTGTAGTGGGATCGGCTCCGCAGGTCAAACCACTTTAGAGAAGAATCCGTTGATGCACCTTATCTGGTGGCCAGGCTTGAGGTCTCGCTTCAGGCTCTCTTACACTCCGGAAAGCGATCGAAGGTTCTGCCATTTACTTCAAATGTCACTGCGCCACGCACCAGGAACCTTCAAAGCTCTTGGAGCTTCTCGACCGACCACTCCTAGCTCAGCGTCATGTAACGGCACCGGAGGCAGTAACGCTCCGGTAGTGTGCTCGAGAAGCAAGATGAATTTCGCCGTGGGTAGCTGGCTGTTGTTCCTGCGAGGCTTTGTGCTGCTACTCGTTCTACTAGCGGTCGTAGTTGGAATCGGCTTGTACAACCCGGTACGAACTCCAGATTCTGGCTGTCAACTCGAATTGCGTCATCTGTTTTCCGAATGTTTGATACGCATAGATTCCCAGACCGCCTGATCATCTTTGGCGAGCCTTGGATTGACGGATTGTTTGAGATTCTAGGAAATCCGCCTGTCTCCCTGGCACCCGCACCTGGACTTATTCGTTGTTTGGCCGATCTGCTACTCTTCACTCGCTTTCCGTTTCTATCTGTTCGTTCTTCCTCAATCCACACTCAACGTTTTTCTTGCCTCACCCGGGACCCACCAGCTAGGGCGAGGCTTCTCTCTCGCGCCGTGCAGCAACGCGTGGTCCTTTAAAGCTCATCGAAGCCTACGAGACATGGCCGTGCCGCAGGTTGCCGCTGTTGCCGAGGGAGATGACGCAGCGGGCGATAATGACGTCAACACGGCGGATGACTCGCTCTCTTCAGGTGCGGATCGCCTTATCTCAAACTTGTTTCTACACGTCTCGCAGCAGTTGTGATGACGTGCGGAAGCTTTAGTTAGCTTGCACCTCTCCACTCAAACGCTCATTATGACGAGCTTTAAGAGGGTAGCTGCAAAGCAGGTAAAGAAAATTGTTTACTTGACTTCTCCCCCTCCCCTCCCCCCCTCCCCCCCTCCTCTCCCAAAAGACAAGAAAAGAAAAGAAAAGAAGAAAAAAAGCCACTAAGTTTTAAAAAACATTATCCAAGACATCGCTAGGAATTGAAAGGCCACCAATCTATAAGTCAGAAATCCATCACATGCACATCCCGCCATTGACCCGCACCACCGAGCAGACCTTGACTCCAACTCAATGTCCGCCACACGGTTGTCCTTCAAGTCGTCGCGAGCGCGCGCGGCGGCGGAGGCGGCGGCGGCGGTGAACGTGGCGTTTGGGCGGCGGCTGCGCGTGTACGTGTACGACCTGCCGCGGGAGTTCAACTACGGCATGGTGGAGCTCTTCTCGCGCAACCGAGACATCGCCATTCCCGATGGCGTCGACCCTCCCCCCGTGAGTCGTAGAGACGGGCATGGAGAGACAACTGTGGAGGCGGAGAGAGAGATTTAGGTAAAGGGGGAGCGCGCGGCAAACGCTGGATACGGTGAGGCTTGCGGCTTGCGGAAGTAAGGTGTGAGCTTGTGGCGAACACGAGGCCATTCCAGGCGGTACGCTGCTAACGCATGTATTCTCTTGCTCAGCTTCTGCCTCTCTTGCGCTACTGCATCCCCTACGTTGACCCTCCGATGGCTCCCTAACTCTTGCCTCTATGCGTTCGCGCGGCACTTCCGCCTATTTCGCTCGTCACTGTCCTCCTCCTAACCCCGTTCCTCTTCTCTCCCTCTCCATCTCCTTCCCTTACGCTCATTCCTGAACACCCCAAACGCCCCTCATTTACCCGGTGTAGTATCCCGCACATCAGCACAGTGGCGAGTGGTGGCTGCTGCGAGACCTCCTTAAACCAGGTTAGTGCTGCCTCTGTAGGTTCATCTTGGTGGGCGAAGTTGATTGATAATGCGCTTTAGCGGGCCAGAATGTGATGGTACAGCAGTCTCCATTTGCGCAACTAGTCGCGGAGTACGATTTGCAGAGTCGACTCCCGCTCCGGCTTTCCACGCCTCTCCCGCTCTCCAACCTTTCGTTCCGACACCTGCGCACATGACTCTCCTCCTTCTCTGCTTCTCACTCTGCGTCTCTCGTTTCTCTCTCTCCTTTCCTCCCTCCCAACCCACATCCCCTCCCCCGGCCCTCCGCCAGAGCACGAGCGGCGCAACTCCCCAGCGGTGCGGGTGGCGGACCCGTCAGACGCGGACGTGTTCTTCGTGCCCGTCTTCTCGTCGCTCAGCCTCGTCGTGAACCCGCTGGGGCTCGTGCGCAACTACCAGCTGCGCGCCGATGCGTGGGACGACAAGGCCATGCAGGAGCGCCTCATGGACTGGCTCGAGCGCCAGGAGCCGTGGCGCAGGAGCCGCGGCCGCGACCACGTCATCCCCGCGCAGGTGCGTGCGCCCGTGGTGTGGTGCGCCCATATGCTCGTGATCTGTTTCCCCTTGTTCAACGTCCCATTTTCCCTCCGGGCAGCACCGCAGTTTCCTCGCTCAACCCCCCGTCCCCCGTCCCCCGTCCCCGCGGTACCATCCCTCTCTCCGGACTTCTCTCCCCCTTCCTCCCCCCTTCCACCCACCGCCACCCACCATTACACACCACCACCCACCATCACGTACCACCACCCACCGCCACCTCTGGCAGGACCCAAACTCGCTATTCACGGTGCTGACGCGGCTGCGGCGGGCGATGCTGCTGGTGTCGGACTTTGGGCGCGTGGCGGCGTGGCAGGCGAACCTGATGAAGGACGTGGTGGTGCCGTACGTGCACCGCGTGTCCACCTACTCGCCCAAGGACGAGGACGACGACCGCCGCCGCGGCGTGCACGGCAACAGGACCACGCTGCTCTTCTTCATGGGCAACCGATACCGCAAGGACGTGAGTGCGGGCGGTGGGGGGTGTGTTGGAGGGTGGCTGTGGGCTTGGGCGTGGGCGAGCGTTTGAAGGGGAAGGTTGCTGGGGCGTGCACGGCAACAGGACCACACTTTTTATGGAGAACTGATAAGAATGCGGCGGGGGAGAAGAAGGGCGATAAGGGGTAAAGGGAGCGAAAGGGGGGAGCGGAAAAGCCTCAGCATTTCCATCCATACATCATGCATCTCCCTTTTTCATTCTCTCCTCCTCCTCTTGCTGCGCCTCTCACTGTCGCTACTGCTGGTGTGTGCCACGCCCGTGCATGCAAACATGGCAGGGAGGGGCGGTGCGCGACGCGCTGTTCAAGTCGCTGGAGCAGGAGGCGGACATGACGCTGAGGGAGGGCACGCCCACTGTGGAAGGCAGACGAGCCACACGGTGAGCGCTGCTCAGCCCGAGTGGTTGCTTCCTGGATGCACGTGGTTGGCCCTGGATGCACGTGGTTGGCCCTGGATGCACGTGGTTGGCCCTGGATGCACTTGGCTGCATTGCCTCCATTGGTTCCCCCGTCCCTAAGCCTTTCACTCTTCTCGTCCTCTCTCTCCCTTTCGCTTATTAGCTGCTATCCGCGTCCCGTTCTACCAGCACTCCCGTTCCTTCCTCGTTACCCTCCCCTCCCAACCCTCACCTTTTGCCCGTCTTTCGACTGTCCCTTGAGCAGCGCGGGTATGCGCACGTCGCAGTTCTGCTTGCACCCGGCGGGCGACACGCCGTCTGCATGCCGCATGTTTGACGCGATTGTGAACCTGTGTGTGCCCGTGGTGGTGAGCGACGACATCGAGCTGCCCTTTGAAGACGTGCTGGACTACCGGTGAGATTCCCCACGAACGCCCCATGTGGGAGAATTAGAGACCCCGTGAGGAGGTGAGTGAGTGAGTGAGTGAGTGAGTGGGTGGGTGAGTCGTAAGTGGGTGAATGATGAATGATGCTGTGCCGCACCGACGAGCTCCTGTGTGTGCCCGTGGTGGTGAGCGACGACATCGAGCTGCCCTTTAAAGACGTGCTGGACTACCGGTGAGACGCCCAGTGTGGGCGAATTGGAGAATTAAGAAAAATACGAACGCAGAACTCCCCCCCGCCACACACACACGCGCACGCGCGCGCGCGCGCACACACACACACACATGCACGCACACACGCACACGCCTTGCACCTCACGCTGTCTGTTGCATCCCTTATGTATGTGCTCGCAACCAATGTGACCAACCTCCTTCCTCTCTACCCCGAAGCTACTTACCTCTGACTCTCCCTCCTTTCCTCCTGTGCGTTTGTGTGCATTAATTTGCTTTAATGGGTGTGTATGTGTGTGGGTGGGTGTGTAACTGGGTGTGTGGTTGTGTGCATTTGTGTGTGGGTGTGCGTGTGTATGTGTGTGTGTGTGTGTGTGTGTGTGCGTGTGTGTGTGTGTGTGTGTGTGTGTGTGTGTGTGTGAGGCAGGGAGTTTGCGGTGTTTGTGCCGACGGGCAAGGCAGTGAGGAAGGGCTACCTGGGAAAGCTGCTAAGGAGTCGCAAGATGCAGGAGCGCCTGCCAGTCATGCAGCAGAGGCTGCGAGAGGTGCGCTCTATCTCTCATTCCCCGCAGAGGCAGATCCTGAAAGAAGGATCTGAGGGTTGCATTTATTGCGTTTACGACTTGAAAGGCTGCAAGGGTGCGCTTTCGTGCGCCTTGAAAGGGGTTGCATTTGCTGTAGACGGAGAGCCAGAGGCGGGGAGAGAGGCAGGCTAGATGGAGGGGTGTAGCGAGGGAGTCTGGGAAGGTGAATGGGACCGGCAACATCACAATCACTTGGCTCACAATCACCCCATCCCTCCTCTCCCCAGGTGCTGCACCACTTTGAATGGGATACCGAGGATGGCACAGTAAACGAAGTAGTTCTGTCCCTCTCCTGTACCTCCATCCATCCCCACCATTCCCTCCCCTCCTCGCCCCTCCTCGCCCTTCCTTGCCCCTCTCCTCGTCCATCCTTCCCACAGGTGCGGCACTTCTTTGAGTGGGACGCGGAGGACGGCACAGTGAACCAGGTGTGGCGGCGAGTAGCAGCCAAGCTGCCAGCCATCCGGGAGATGATCCACAGGGAGAGGCGCATGGTGCGTGGGGGCCTCAGCAACTGCTCCATGGTGTGTACAGCCCGCAGTGTTGACGCCCAGAAAGCCAGCACAGGCAGCACCAGCACCGGTGGCGGGGACAATAGCACTGGCAGCAGCAGCAACGGTTCTGAGGCCATGCCTTCCCCGCAAGCCGTGCCGTCTCTCTCGGCTCCTGCTGTTTCTCTGCCTGCGCCCACGTTGTCCTCTCCGTCTGCACCGTCGTCTGGCGATGCTGTGGGTTCTGTGTCCACACCATCGGTCTCCGGCTCCTCGGATTCTCTGCTCTCGTCCTCCCTAATGAAGGAGCGGGTATCGTCAGCGGCACATTTAAAAGCGTCGGGGATTGGAGCATCGGAAGGACTGGCAGGATTGGAGGCGCCAGAAACGCCAGGCGATTCAGAAGGGGGGGCTGAGGCATTGGAAGCGTCGACGCGCGCAGGTGAAGCAGAATCTGAGACAGATTCTAATCGGGATTCAGAATCAGAACCGGAATCAGAGGCTACATTGAAATCTGAATCGGCCTTGGATTCGGAACCGGAGCTGGATCGAGATTTGGAAGCTGAATCTGCGGCATCGCCTGATTCGGACTCGCCATCTGATAACAGTCAAGGAGACGGTGCTGGGGACGGTGGTGTGGATGGCGGTGGGGATGCCAGTGAAGACAGCAGTTCTGTCGAGGAGGAATAGGTTTCTGTGTCCATTGGTACTTCCCAAGTTACTTCGCAAGTCTGGCCGCCTTAATCTCACTCTCTCCTCTTCCTTGGGCTGCTAACATGTAGGCGTCCTCCCCGTGTTGACCCGCATGCAGTATAGCATGCTTCCATCCGGTATTCGTTAGGGGCTTGGTAAGACTCAGTGGTAGTGTAGTGTAGTCGTTGGGGACACCTCATCCCATGCTAATTCCACTTGGCAGCACCGCCCCATCACCACTATGGTCGTTTCTATTGCTGCCGTCACATCACCACCGTTGCGGCTTCTGCTGCAGCTGCATTTTTCGTACCGGTACCGTCCCATTCATGGCGCGTGCTCTGCCCTTCAGCTCTTCGGACCAGAGTATATGGTACACCACCTAGTCCGTACCCATTCCGTTGCTTTTCCCCAGTGCACCGAGTATGGGGTTCAAAGTAAGCCGGGGTATGCTCTTGGTGTGCACAAATGCATGCCATGTTCTTTAGGTTATATTCTTTGTTTTTTTTACCGTAATGGCTTGATTTTTTGTAGAATAACGCTAATTACATACATCCTACATCTTCTGTATTGCGGCCTAGCCTAGCGCTCTCATATACCAGCTGGAAGACTTTCGCTCACATTCTATAGACAGTGATTTCTGTAACGTGTATGCAAGTCCACCTACACAAAATATCCGTTAGTGTAAAAGTTGTCTTTGCTAGCGGCTGTGTCCTTCCAGATCCCCGGTTATCAAGCACCTAATGTTAACAAGCATCCATGTTAATTATACATTGTGCTTCATTTGGGTTCCATTAGTGTTTTTTTGCTTTTGAAGAAACCAGCCAGCCAGCCAGAAATCCCATACCGTATCACCGTTGACCAATCCGGTCAATAAGACATTGACCCTCTCTACACCCAGGCTTCATTGCACCCAACACAGCACAACGCGGCCATCTACACATACCAGACCATTAACAGACCCCTGTCGGGCACCGTTGTTAACACACCACACCACACCACACCACACCATTGACAGAAAGGTTTCCTCAAGAAAGAAGAGGCATTTCTGCCAATGGGGCTGCTGGACTCCTCTACCCCTCTCCCTCTCTCTGAATGGTGCCTGTCATCATGATGATGATCATGATCATTGTCGCCGTTGATTTTTGAGCATCAAACATGGACTTGTTACCTCTCTCCCCCCCTCTCTCTCCACCCCTTCCCCTCTCTCCCTCCCTCTCTCCTTCCCTCTCAATGGTGCCTGTCGTGATGCTCATCATGCCCCCCATCACCGCCGTCATCATCATCATCATCACCCCCCCCGTTGCGCTTGCACTTCCACCAGAGGATCTTGCGCTTGACACACTTGGGCTTGGTGCGGCACGATAGGTCCACCAGCAGCGACCCCCTGCAGCAGCACAAGGCAAGGCAAGGCAATGCAAGGCAATGCAAGGGACACACAAGGATGGAGTGAGTGCGAGAAGTCTACGTTGGAAAATACGCCCTTGGGGGGTGGGCGTATTGCGTATATACGCTATCGTATGTACGCAATACGCTAATACGCCTAAAAATCGCTAAAATAAGCCGGGGCAGCGCGTAAAAAAAAAAAAACTTAAAAAAAAATGCGAGAATTTGCGACGGCGAGAATTGAACCCTCGACCTCGCACAGCACCCAACCCCTGTCCGCAATTCGAAATTCAAAATCCAACCCCTCCCACATCCCCAACCTCACACCACCCCTCTCAACCTCCTAAACCCGACCTCCCCCCTTTCACTCGCTCGAACATCTCGTCAATCCCTAAACAGCTCGTCTTTCATTCAATCCCGCATTTCTCTTCTTGCATTTCGTCCAACTCTCATCGAGCTCGAACTCTCATAGCTTTAGTACTTCCTCGCCTTGGCGACCTCTACTCCCTACAGTTCGAGGGCGGAACCTGCCCGGGAAAAAGTTTTACCTGCCCGCCCAGCGTATTTTTGCGTATCAGCAGTACGCCAGCCATGGCGTACCGCGTATATACTAAGCGTATAATACGCTAGCGTATAATACTCGATACTCGTATTTTCCAACGTAGCGAGAAGTGTGAGGTCTTGCGCTTCACGCACTCGGGCTTGGTGCGGCACGACAGGTCTACCAGCAGCGACCCCCTGAGGCACCCACCCACAAGGCAGAGCAAGCAAAGCAAGCAACACACAAGGATCGAAGGAGTGGGGGAAGGGCGAGGAATGCATTGGGAAACAGAGAGAGAAAGAGCGAGTGATGGAGTGTGGTGGACAGCAATGCGTTTTTTTTTTTTTTAATTAATTTATTTATTTATTTATTTATTTATTTATTTATTTTTTTACCGCGAAGAGCAAACCCCTCCCTGCCTCTATTCCCTCTGCCACCTACCTCCCCTCACTTGTGCTCCCTCTTCAATCCCCTAACCCGTCCCTCCCCTCCCATCCCCACTCTCTTATCCACCTCAGACACCCTCCCTTCCCACCCCGGCCCAGGGCCCCCCTCACACCCTTCCACTCTCAGCCCGAACGCACTTGTTGCCACCGTGGGTGGTGAGAGCTTGTGACTGCGAGCCGGAGTAGGCCCACAGAATGTTGTTCACGCCGCTCACGTCGATGCGCCCCGATCCCTGCGTGCGCGTGAAGCTGATGTGCCGTGGGGAGGGCGGGAGGGAAGGAGGGAGAGAGAGAGTGCGAAGCATGAGTGACAAGAAAGGAAACAACCAACTCATGCCAACCAACCAGCGGTAACTCTCTACAAGAAAGGCTATCTCAGCAACCTCTTAACCAACTCACGTGACAAGTGTGGAGCCGGATGGAGAGGTGGTGGTGGCAGCAGTGCCGATGGAGAAAGAGCCCGGATTCACCCCCCCCCCCCCTCCCCCCCTCCCCCCACTGGTCGACGCGATGGCATACGCGCCCACGGCCCCGCCCGCCAGGTTGCCAATGACGGCAAGAGAGGCTCCTCCTACAAACCCTCACCCAACTCACGTGACAAGTGTGGAGCCAGACGGAGAGGTGGTGGTGGCAGCCGTGCCGATGGAAAAACTCCCCGGGTTGACCCCCGACGCGCTGGTCGAGGTGATGGCATAGGCGCCCACGGCCCCGCCCGCCAGGTTGCCAATGACGGCATCGGAGGGCGACATGCGTGAGCTCGCTCCCACTGCCATGGACACCCATCCGCTTGCGACTGTGCCCTTGGCCTCCAGGGCGAAATCTATGGCCGACGCTGCTGCCGCCTTCCAGTGCATGATGAGACTGGTGGGGGTGGGGGATGGGAAGGGGTGGGAGGAGGGAGAGTGGGGGTGGGAAGCGAGGGAGAGGGAGTGGGAGAGGTGGTGGTGTGAGGAACGGGAGCAAAAGCAGAATTTCTGGCAATTGGGCGGCGAAGCGATGCGCTTTGAGAGGATGGAAAGGGAGGTCGGGACGTGTGGGTGCGGCACGTGTGCACGTGCGTGTGTTTGTGCGCGTGCATAAGGTGTGTGCATGCGGCGTGCGTGTGCGGTGTGCACGCTCACTTGCTGCCGCCCAGGTTGGTCTGATAGTCGAAGCCCGTGAGCGTGGAGGCAGGGCACATGGACGCCACCTTGGTACCGTCACACGTGAAGTCGATGCTGCGACTGCCACTGGCGGACGGAACGGGAGGAATCGGGTACGGGGACGGAAAGGTGAGGTTCCATTGATGGGTGCGCGTAGGCACGTGCGAGGGCCACAGTGAGAGGGAGCGTGGTGGTGGTGGTGCCGTCAGCAAAAGAAGCCCTCACCCTTTAATCGCTGCTCCCTCTCGAGACATGTCAAAACGCCGTACCGGTTGTCGCCGCCGTGGTTGTCAAGTGTGGTGGTGCCATCAGCAGAGTAAGCCCACACCATGTAGTTGCTCCCTGCTACGTTCACTGGCACTGCTCCCCCGTCGCCCGTTGACCGCGAAAAGCTGCAAGGGGGGCAGGAGAGAGGGGAGGCGGGGGAGGAGGGGTAAGGGTGGGCAGGGAGTGGGTGCTTAGAGTTAAATGCGTGTGGCAATTACGAGGAAGAGGAGAAGGAATGAGCAGTGAATTTGCGGTGGAGGGTGGAGCGGAACGGGGGAAAGGGGGAGGGGAGGTGGAAGGGGGAATGGAAAAGGGGGAAGCGGGTGAAAGTCAACGGTATGCCAGCCATCACGAGCAACTTCAACAACAAACCAACATCGTTACCGTCACCACCACCACTCACCACCAGCACCACCACCACCGGCACCCCCACACCATGAACACAATCAACGACTCACGTGAGCACGGCGTTGGTCCCAGCAGTCGCCGTGAAGCTCGGCGCGGTGCCGAGCGTGAACGTCGTCGTCGTCGCGACGCCCGCCGTGGTCTGCGCGGTCATCACATACGCATCGAACTCCGGCGTGGCGCCCGGAATCGCGATCACCGCGTCGCTGCCCACCATGCTGCCGTCCGGCGACCACCCCACGGAGAACCACCCGCCGGCCAGCGTCGCGCCCTTGGCTTCTAGCGCCATGTCAAGCTGCGTGCCGCCCGCTGCCGCCACGTTCCAGTGGAGAATGAGGCTGTATCGTATGGGAAAGGGAGCGGGGGAGAGGGGGAGGTTGGGGGGAGGGCAGAGGGGGAGGGGGGGGTGGTGTCACGTTCGGGAGGAAAGGACGGGAAGGAAGGGTAAGGGGGTAAGGGGGTAAAGAGATTCTCTAGTTCGGAACCGACGAAATGCGGGGTTGGCGGTGGCCCATCACAAGAGTGCGCTACGATATAGTATGGTACGTTACGGTAAGAAGTGAAACGACACGACACGACACGACACGACACGACACGACACAACATGAAAGATACGAAACGACACCACATGAAACGATGCGTAACGATACGATGCGTTTTTCACGGGGCGAAGCACACTCACCCTGTGCCCGAGAGGTCCACGGACGACGTGAATCCGGTCAGCGACGACTTCTGACACGCGCCCGTGGGCGCGGCGCTCGGCGGCTTCTTTCCGCGGATTTTCTTCCACCACTTGCGGAACCGGCCGATGAGCCCCATCGGCCGCGCCACCGCGCGTGGCTGGGACGCGCCTCCGCCTACGGCGCTAGTTCCAGCGCTGCCGACTGCGGCGGTGGCTGTGGCGGTGGTACCGGCGGGAAGTGCGGAGGGGCCGGGGAGAAGGCCCTGCGAGCGGAGCGACGCGTGCGCGGCGGGGATGAGGGCGAGGAGCAGAAGGGCGGAGAGTAGCGAGAGGAGGAGGAGGAGGCTTCCTCCCCGCGGGGAATGCGGAGAAAGGTTCATGGCGTTGCGGCGGGGAGGAGTGATGCGCGCCGAGACGTTGCGGCGGGGGGACCAGCGGGTAAAAGGCTTCCTCTCCCAACGAGACTTTCTTGCGGAGGCCGCGAAATGCGGTTGACGCGAAGCACGTGATAATGAGCGCAAAGACTTACTAGCCGGGACTTCTCCGACGAGAATCGCTAATCTATTAGACTCGTAGGGTCGTTGGGACAATGAGAGCGGGAAGACAGACTACTTCGGAGGAATGCCAGATTCTTCGTCGCGAGAAAGGAAAAGAAACAGGTTCTTATCAGCGAAGGCGTCGACTGCACACAAGCGGTTGACGAAGGCTGCTTGCTGCTGAAACCGCGTTTGGCTGGCGTGGCGTGGCGTGGCGAGGCGAGGAGAACGAGGCGGAACTCGACGGGAGGGATTCATCGTCAATGCTCTACCCAGCCCACCATGGAACAACACTGTACATTAGTTTCGTGTCTAGCGTGGATTCCATTTCAAGGGCTTGAACAGTGGGGATGGAGTGGAGATGCGGTGGCGGCGGCTATTGAAATGGTGGTGGCGCGGGGGAGGTGAACCATAGGCGTGCGGAAACAGCTGGATGAGCGGGTGAATAGAGTTTTCGTTAGTTTGGGTACGGTGAAAGGGTTCAATTTGGAGGGGACTTCGAAATAGGGGGGAGGGAGGGGGAGGGCTTCGCTGGGTGCGGAAGAGGTCGGTGGGGGTCGTGCGAGCACGCGCCGAAATACAAGATACAACCTACAAATATTGGCACCCCTACAATATTTAAAATTGTTGCCGGGGTCAGTGTGAACTTCGGGGGGGTTAGTCAGTTTGAGCAGCCCTGGGCAGAAGGAGTAGGGGAAAACTAACGCGATTACATAAAGTAGTTGATGGAAGCTCCTCCATTTACAAGTTAAGGTATTCAGGTTCTTGAGCTTAAGCTGCCTACGAGTATGGGAAATCTGCCCGGAAACTCTAAACAGTGACCTGGACGGTGGAGCACAACGCTTGCTGGATGCTAGACTTCCATGACCTAGGGTAGGCCGGTCTGGCCCACGATGTGGTCCGTGAGCCGTGACGACCAATCAGCGTCCGAACAACATAGAAAACACTGTATACTTCTTGCAAATCGGCATCTGTGAGACTTTGTTTCGGTACAGAATTCCTCATTGAAGCCCGCTGTTCCGGTTGTAATAAAAGTGATCAAGTAGCACTTTGTCGAAGCCTAATTCAAATTCCACACACCTGAACCGTAAGATCAATAGCAAATAAGTCCAATATTGCCAATGTGAGCAACCATGAGCATTTACTCCCTATCTGACAAAACCACCCGTTGCTCTTCCGCCTACATAATACAAAGATACATCAGAAGCGAAATGGGGCGACAAAGGATGAGAAGCGCCCGGACTTGGTGCCTGCAAGAACACAAGACAGCGAGCAAAACAGGGACAGCAACAAGTTTCAGTCAACATCACCAGAGGGTGCGTGTTTCAGCTCTGGGGGAGCCAGTTTCTGTAGAGTAATAAAAAAAAAGAACAGCACCCAAACTCAAGGAAAGGGGAGAAAAAAGATGACAGCACCTGGCTAACTCACATTCTCGCATGCACTGAGAGGAGCACTGCCGAACAGCTTTCCTAGCATCAGCATCCTCAATGGTGTAGCCTGTTGACCGTAGCACCACCTCCCCATGCCTCCTCATCGCCCCCTTACATGCCTTCTCACACGCCACACTGCAGCTGCCGTCCCTCTCACTCCCCTCGCCCTTGACACACGGCGTTGCCTATCACTGACACCTGGGCATGACAAGGGTGGGCAGAAGGTGAGATAGGGGAATAGAGCTGAGAAAAGGGAAGTCTCAAGGTTGCTCGTGTAAGGTGAGGAAGAAACGGAGTGAGAGCAGGGAATCATGAGGCTCATAAATCACCATAGCGGGTTTAAAGATACTGCGCAACTGCCTACTGCGTAGGCAGTATGATGGGATGGTGGTTACCTTGGCCCCAATCGGGAGAGCTTGCAGTTCAGGCGTCTCTGCTGCATTGTCCAGTGCAGCCACACTGACAGGACGGGTAAGGGGAAGGGCAGAGAGATGGATGGAAATGAGGAGAGTGCACTAGTGAAACCACGTGCACATGCCCGTGCTATGCAATGCAGCTAACAAGCTGCTGTAGCATGTGTGTGTGTGTGTGTGTGTGTGTGTGTGTGTGTGTGTGCGTGTGTGTGCGTGTGTGTTTGTGTGTGTCTTTATGCATGCATGTGTATGTGCTTTAATATACGTGGTAGGTGTGTGTGTGGGTGTATTTGTGTGCACACATGCATGTGTGTGTGAGCACGCATACATGTGTGTATGTACGTGTGTGTGTACACACTCTTGCAATTTCTCAAAACAGCTGACGACGAGAGGGAGGAAAGGGAATGTTTTATTCTTCAAAACGGTGTGTGAAGCGCTGCACTTTAGTAAAAAGTAATACCGTCCTTGGATAGCAATCGCCTGTCAACTCAAGTACATGCATCAGCACCACTGGCCTTACCATGCTGTGGCAGTGAACCCCTTTGCCCGGGACAGCACCTTCTCTCCCTCCAGTCGCTCAATGTAGTACTTCTTCCTGCCACGCCATGCCATGCCATGCCATGCCATGCCATGCCATGCCATGCCATGCCATGCCATGCCATGAAGTTCCCACGCCGCTCCACACCATGCCGCAAATATGCCATCCCATGCCATGGTGACACGAGCAGCGGATGCGTCACGAGGGGTATGAGGGCCCTAATAGCAGCAGTGTTGGAAAGAAAGGTGGGGATGATTAGTGTGGTTGTGATGCTCTCTAGTCGGTGGAGTCAATACGATGCCTAACAAACCAATTGAACCAACTGCGGGCCTATCCCTAAAAACCTGCTGCTTCGCCCAAGCCATCAACTCGAATTTCCATCATGCATTTCCATTTCCCAGCGAACCAGCCCCACTGTCCCTCCCCCCTTGCTCCTCCCGCACCACCCCCACTTTCCCCCTTCTCCCCCCTTCCCCCCCACCCTTTCCTTCCCCTTCTCTCTCTCTCTCTCCCTCTCACCCGCTCTCACCCCCACCCCCGCCACGCACTGCACGGTGCCGTAGAGTGTGAACGGGTTCACCGGGTCCTTATCGCCCTCCCATCCCACCCCACCTGTGCTTCCCATTCTCCCTTCCCCTCTTCCCCCCTCATTCCCACCCCCCACTCCCCCCCACCCACCCCCACCACGCACTGCACGGTGCCATAGAGTGTGAACGGGTTGACCGGGTCCTTATCGCCCTCCCATCCTCCCCCGAACAGCCCCCCCACGTCCCACGCGCGCGCTGCCACCCGCGCCTCACTCCCCGCCGGTCCCGGCACCCAGTCAAAGCTCGCCACGGCGGCAGCCAGCAGCGCCAGCGACCACGCTCGAAGCACCGCCCGCCTTCCCGCCAGCGGCCGGCTGCCACTCTGCCGCGCGCCGTCCGTGTGCCGGCCATCGCGGTACTGCCGGCCGTCCGGCATGACTACCGTCCTGCCGTGTGCTGGACGACCGTCGATCACGCCCTGTACCTCTCCACCCGTACTGCCTTCCTGCTGCGGATCCCGTTGTTCCCGTAGCTCCCATTGCTTTCTTATCTCCCCTTGCTCCCCTTGCTCCCTTCGCTCTCCCTTTAGTCTACCCTTCTCGCGCAGTGCCCCCTGCAACGCGGCGGAACCCCAAGCGACGGCATCTTCCGAATTTCGCGAATATTCCTTCGTTTCGTGAATGCTAGTGGGTTTTTTGCAACCTACGCTGGCCCTACAAGCGTGATCCCCTGCGAATGGGCTCTCCGCGAAAAGGGTAACCGGCCGTTGCGATGCAGTGGGAGGCGTAGGCTGGCGAAGGCGTAGGCTTTCCAGAGGTATGGAAGCCTGAGCTGTCAGAATTCTTACATCTCGCGTGAATGCGGACGGCGAGGCGCAAATGCCAAGTGGAGTAATGGAACTGGCCGCCATGAGATTCAAGCCAACCACTAGACGTTGCTGTGGTGGAAATCAACTGCAAGAGATTGGGGCTTTGCACATACTCGGCAAGGATGTGTGCGATGTGGTCGCGTAGTCGTACTGCGGAACGTACATGTATATAATGAGAAACATATGAGAAACATCCACGCCTCGCCACAGCACCAAAAAACGGATAGGGAGTACATGCTAGCGGCACCAGTACTTGGATAAAGTGTTATAAATAGCAGTCCATACAGGCTGCAGAGAATTACATAACTACAAACGAAAAATGTCAAACGCCAGCAAACTATCACACAAATGTCCTGCCCATATGATGTGATTGCCACACAAACAAGCCTACTCAGCTACGTACCAGTACTACGTATATGCAAGCACCTAAAGCAGGAACCACACGGCAGTGACTGGGGTGACACACAGACTATACAGAAGGAAGCAAGCTTGGATGGGTGGGATGGGATGAGGTTATAATAATGCAAGTGGCAGCAGCTGTGGGACTGTTACAAACACAAGCCACGGGTGGGGAGGTGCGGCAGCACGAGTTATCGAGTGACAGCAGCAGCCACAGCAGCAGCCACAGCAGCAGCCACAGCAGCAGCCACAGCAGCATGAGTTGGACCTTAGCCTTGTCGTTGTCGTCACACACCAACGGCGTGGAAGATAATGGGAGCCAGCCCCCCCAGAGACCAGGCCAGGCACATGTATGCACAGAGGCGAATGCCAGTGTCAACATCAAACTGCTGCACTGCTTTTCTTGGCTTTGCTGCTGCTGCTGCTGGTGCTACTGTCGCTGCTGCTTCACCACCTTTGGCTGGTGCAAACGTGCTCCATGCTTGCGCTTTGGCCGGGGACTTGGCAGCAGCAGCAGTTGACTTTGCATGAGCTGCGGCACTAGCGGCGAAAGATACTGCTGACTCACTCTTCTTCATCCTGCTTGCCCTCTTCCGCAGCCCCTTCTTCTCACGTGCACCCCTCTCTCCAGCCGCAGTGGCAGCAGCAGCAGCAGCAGCAGCAGCAGCAGCAGGAACAGGAACAGGAGCAGGAGCATTTACAGCAGTTGCAGCAGTACCAGCAGCAACAGCAGCGGCGACAGCACCAGCATCCACATCGCTGCTCCCACCAACAGCCCAAGGCACCGAAACCACCTCATCCTCATCAAACTCCTCACAGAACACACCCCCCCCACAGCTCCCCATAGCAGGCCGCTTCCCCTCCACCTCCCCACTCCTCCCCTCAACACCACCAAGCGCTAACATACTCCCAGCCTTGCGCATCCCTGCAATGCCACCGGGTGCACTCCCCACCCTATGCATGCTACTCCCCACTCGGCGCAGCCCCTTCACGTATCGGGTGGAGAACACAGGGATTCCCAGGGCGCGGCAGAGCAGTGGTAGCACCAGCTTGGCTACAGCACTGGCGATTTCCTTCATCAGGAGAGCGAGAGGCAGGCCTATGAGCACTCGGATGGCGATGGTGATGGCGGTGGAGAGAGAGAGGGAGGTGGCTGGGAGGGGCAGTGCGAGGTAGTGTGGGCCTAGACCAGGGAGGCTCAGATGGTAGCTTGAGACCTGAAGGGAAGGGAGGGATGCGGGTAAGAGGAGGAGGGGAAGGGGGAGGGAGAGGGGTGGTGAGGAGGGGTGACGATGCGCATGGAGGGTCGGGTTTGGGGTGGGCGTAGGGAGACGAAGGGGTGGGTTTAGATAATGATGAATGGGCAAGTGCATTTCTAAAACGAGTGGAAGGGTGATGGCAGGGACGAGCTTGCAGGCCCACATGTGCAGCCACAATGATTGACAGCAACAACAACAACAGCAACAGCTGCGAGTGTGAATCTATGGGCAGCAGTGGCAGCGGCAGCTGCACCGGCAGCAGCAGCAGCAGCAGCAGCAGCAGCAGCAGCAGCAGCAGCAACAGCAGGAGGAGGAGGGGGTGTTACTGGTGGTGACGATAACTCACGAGGCCGAGAATGACACCGGTGAAGGCATTGTGGTCCTCATAACTGGGCGTGGGGCGCGGGGGCGTGGGGTAGGCGAACAGCTGCAGCACCGCCAGGCAGGCATGGAAGAGCAGCACTGGCAGGGAGAGGGAGGGGGGGTGAAAAGGGCGAGTAAAAGGTCAGCACAATGAAGTTTGAGCCGGTAAGGGGAAGGGGAGGAGAGGGTGAAGGGAAGGTGCAGGAGGTTCATGGGCCGGCGCAGTGACTCTTGTGGGATACAGAAGGTAGATGCGCGATGAGGTTGATGCAACGCGCCTAGAAGGACCAAGGCAAGCGCATGCAGCAGCACAAGCAGTGCCTGCCTGCCAGCGGCAATGGAAAAGGCAGTGGCAGCGGCAGCAGCACTGGCAGTGGCTGTGAAATGCATGGGAAAGGGGCGTGGCAGCACACCGTTGGGACCGTGGATCCAGAAGTGCAGGATGTGCATGTCCACACACAGCAGCAGCAGCGGCATGGCCACGTTGTGAGGCGCCTAGTTTTTAGGCGCCTCAAAACTAAACTGGGGGAGCAGCAGCTCACCGTTGGGCCCGTGGATCCAGAAGTGCAGGATGTGCATGTCCACACACAGCAGCAGCAGCGGCATGGCCACTCCTATTGCCATGCCCGCTGCCAGGTCAATGGGCGAATGCATGCCCAGGTACAGACGACCTGGGGGGAGAGGGGTGGAGATGAGGAGGCGGGGGAGGGGGCGAGAGGGGAAGAGGGGGAAGAGGGGGAAGAGGGGAGAAGGAGGAGGGAGAAAGTGGGGCAAGGTGATGAAGAGGGATGGAAGAAGGGCGGAGTAGCTATGGAAGAGATGGTCAATGAGGACAGGATGAAGTAAGGGTGGGGATGCGTGTAAGGGCGCGACATGGTGACCAACAGGGCGAGGCAGGCCGGGCAGTCAGTCACAGGGAAGAGCAGACAGAAGAGGAAGAGGAGACAGAAGAGGAAGAGGAGACAGAAGAGGAAGAGGAGACAGAAGGGGAAGAGCAGACAGAAGGGGAAGAGCAGACACAAGGGGAAGAGCAGACACAAGGGGAAGAGCAGACACAAGGGGAAGAGCAGACACAAGGGGAAGAGCAGACTAAACGGAGGCCGAGGAGGGAGAACAAGGTCGCATCGCATGTGGGGCAGCGGACAGTTCAGAAATGGGGGAGTACGCGGGGCGTTGGTGGGTAACAGCGTGAGATGAGCGGGAGGTTGGCACAGTGCGTGGACGGGGAGGGTGTGCGGATCGGACTGACGAGGGAGAGGGGGAAAGGGGCGAGAGAGTGAGGGGAGAAGGGGAGAGGGGCGAGAGGCTAGGGGTGAGGGCGAGGGGTAAGTGGGTAGGTAAGGGGTGGGAGAGCACTCACCACCGACAACAATAATCACCACAGCCAGTACGACTGTGGTCAGGGGGAGCAGCCCAGACACGCTCATGCCCTCCCTCAGGAGAAGGAAGAGCAGCAGATAGCTGCATGGAGAGGAGCCGAGGGGGAAGAGGGGAGGGGGGAAAGGGGATAAAGGAAGAAGGGTGGAAACGGGGTAAGGGGGGAGCGGGAAAGAGGGGAAGGTGGGGGGTGAGAACAGGAAAGGTATCCAGAAAGGAGGGAAGGGATAGCATAGGCATTGGTGCAGCAGAGACAGACGGGCGCAGCAGAGAGAAAGAGAGAGAGAGGAACAAAGGAGGGAGTGGGGAGGGAGGGAGTTTGGGAGGGGAGGGGGCACAGACAGGAGGATAGGGAGAGACGAATTGGCAGGCACAGAGCGAGAGGGAAAGAGAGGGGGAGAAGGGGAGAGAGGGGGAGACGGGGAGAGAGGGGGAGAAGGGGAGAGAGGGGGAGAAGGGGAGAGAGCGGGAGTACTGACAGCGAGAGTGCAATGGTGTTGATGGTGTGCGAGGAGGGCAGGCCGAACTCGAAGCTGCTCTGTGCGTCCATGTGCGTGCCCGTGACCCTCTGCGCTGGCGGGGAGAGCGGCCGCGGTGCTGCCACCACGTCCTGCTCATGCACATGCGGGTAAGCACCCACACATACACACACCCACACGCGCATGCATGTGGACGCGCACCCACCACATAGGCACACACACAGACAGACACACACACGCATACGAGCTCATAAGCACCCAGCACACGCACCCAGCACACGCACCCAGCACCCAGCACCCAGCACACGCACCCAGCACCCAGCACCCAGCACCCAGCACACGCACAAGTGTACAAGGACTTGAGCGCCTTGCCACACAACACAGGTCTCGCAACGATATGCGCTATGGTACAGGCCGAGCGTACAGCTAACCGCATCACGCCACACCGTCCACAGCTCATCTGCACGACGGACCGTTGACGAGCCTGGCACGAAAAGCGCAGTGCCGTGGCATGGCACGCAGATACAAAACACGCCAGACCAAGTCAGCGCGCACAGAATGCGCGTGCGGAATGCGCGTGCGGCGTGTATGTGCGCGGTCGCGCGGCACAAGGACCAGCGCACGCACCTTGAGCGCGTTCCCTGCGTACGTGCAGAGAGCGAGCAGCAACACCGCCAGCGAGGCGAGATACGGCCTGCCGGACTGCGAAGGCGGGAGCAGGGAGAGGGGGACGAATGGAGGGAGGGAGGGAGAGATAGAGGTGCAGGGAGACGAGGACGACGGGATAGCTGAGTCATGGTGGGAGGACACCACGCAGGGGAGTAACGACGGAGATACATCCCCGAGCATGTGCGGTGGAGAAGGAAAGGGCGAGGAAAAGAGATGGAGAGATAGACGCAAGCATACTCGAATAGAGCAATATGCCTGGAGAAGAGGGAGGAAACGGAGGGGAGCGGGAGGAAGCGGGAGGGAGCGGAAGGGAGCGGGAGGGAGCGGGAGGGGACGGGAGGGAGCGGGAGGGAGGGGGAGGGAGGGGGAGGGAGCGTACCCAGAAGAGGACGGGGAGGAAGGCGGTGTAGAACTCCACGGAGACCGCCATGGCCATGAACGACATGAACGCGTCCAGCCATGGCCGCCGGTAGCGCTGCGCGCAGACCGAGAGAGGCGAGACGGGGCGGAGGTGGGGTGGCGATTGGGGTAAACAGATTGGTGTCAGCCGTCCAAGCGATGCGCGACTCTGCGCATCTCCGTCCACTCTCTCTTGCAACCTTCCTCTCCCCCTCTCAACCTCGTCTCGCTGTTTCCCTCGTTGATCTCCATCCTCGTTCATCTATTCCGATGAACAATACCCCTAAGGAACATCTTAAAGCATGTCGCGCCTTCGCCCTCGAGCATCCCAAACACCACACGCTTCCTTCCTCATGCGCACTACCACGCGCCTCAGGCGTGTGACTTCGCCTTGGGATGCTCGAGTCGGCTCACGACGGAGACGAGCCGTGCTGCGCTTGTCACGAATGGGGTCGAAGCTGCCGTGCCGGGGCGAACAGTCGACTCGCATCCGGAAAAAGCGCAACGCGCATTGCGCAACACGCAAGCGGCAAGGTACAAGGAGGAGCAAGGCGCAAATGTACCGCGCGCCGCACATCCCAATGACGCACTACACCACTCCTCCTCCCTTCCTCGCCCGCATCCCTGACTCTCAGCCTAAACGGTAAAATATAAACGAAGATGGACAGCGAAAAATGCTACAGGGGAGCCTCCCTTTGGTCCGGAAAAGGTCTAACGCTTATTGCACATTGAAGTAGTATAGTGGAGAAAGTCAGTCAGTTATTCACTCCTTACCTGAACGCTAACGACCGTCGCCGTGCCTTGCTCCACCATACGCGTTACAAACGGCTGCAGGACTCGGCGCAAGCGTACGGTGAGCGAAAGCGCGCGCGCGAGCACGAGGAAAACCACACCGCAGGCGAGAGCCGCGATCTGCCATGGCGCCAAGATCCCGTCTTGCTGCGCCTCCGCGACTCGACGAGAATAGCCGCAACGTGCAGCGTGCGCAAGGGACGACGTTAAGGAGGGGTAGGAGGAGGTATCGAAGGACCAAGCGGCGGGAAAGGACCCCGAGGAGCTTTTATAAACGGTCGATCCGTTTCCATTGGCCCATTCAGCGCACGATCCCGGGTTTCCTGCACCGGTTCGGTTGATGGCAGACGACCAGAGAGCTGACGTGGCGCGATGGAGAGTGGCGGGTGCGGTCCAGGAAGAGCTGGCGTCGCTGGTGTGATTGGAAAGTCCTGCGCTGGCCAGCACGGCGGGAGACGCGGAGTCGAAAATGCGAAGAGCGGCGGACTTTAACGCGTCGACGAGAGATGTCGCAGCCATGGCGGTCGGGACGGGAGCGAACCGTAAACGCAGCCTTGGAGCAGCCTTGGCAGTTTTACAAGGTCCTATTGCCGACCATTGCTGGAGGGAAGAGCAGGAGTAGAAGAACGAGATGAGAGGATAGTCAGGGAGCCCGGCGGCAATCTCGATGGAGGGAAAAAATGGTCAGCTGCTGATTTTCAGCAGATGCTTCCTGGCCAGCCAACATGGACAGCCTGGCCGAACCAAACCAGACAAGTCAGGCCAAGACTTCGACGATCGAGCTTTCCTGACCGTTTATTCATTCGCCTTGCCTCTGACCGTGCCTGAATCTATGTTCGGTCCGAACCGAAACAGATTACCAGGGCAATTTCCCGCTGCCTATTTTGTGGGACGACCTGGCTGTCAGAGCGTGTCCGAACAAACTGACCGTCGACAGACATCCGTGGTTGGCATGTCGAGAAAATGTGTTCATCCGATTCAGAGATCCGACGAACTAGATTTCTCGATACTTGACGGATGTCGACGGTGACCTCGGTTCGGTTCAGACGAAGAACTTCCGGAAGCCACGTGGAGGGGGTTTGGAGAAACTGACAGCAGGGACAGTATAGCTTGCTTCGTTATACATTCCAGGAGCCAGCGTACACCTGATTCAACAGAACAAAACGGATTATTTGTGCATTCAGTTGGCTGTGACACTTGCCTTGATCTCTTCGGGTTGAGACTTTCCTGTGGTATTATAATACGACACATTCATGTCATGACGACACTTTCTTCCCGTGGTGCCTTATCAGTGCCGAAGGTTCTACACACCACAAGTGCCTCTGTCGCTGGTCTCCTCATGCCGCCTTTCCCCTTTCCGTAACGATCGGTAGAACGAAACCCTCGTTTTGCTGGTCTCCTGCGCCCACAACACGTGGCAAGCCGCGCAGCCAGCGTCCCTCAGCAGGCAAGAAGCCAGCCCGATTGCGGCGGAGGCGGCGCGATGGCTTCGACGCCGAGCTTGCTGGCGGTGGCGGCGAGTCTGCGGCAGTCGGCGGGCGGCATGGCTGGGTGGTCGCTGGAGGACCTGACGCTGGGGCTGTACCGGCTGAGCCTGAAGCACGCCGCCGGGAAAGACGTTGATGCGATCCCCGGCGACGTCGTCCGCAACAGGTCGGGATAGCGATACGAGGGACGGGGAGGGGGATGAGGATCGCGATAGGTATGGGGAGGGATAGGGTGTCGGAATTGTGTATGGAGGTGGGGATGCGGGTGGTGATGGGGATGTTGATGGGGGTGAGGATTGGAATGGGGGTGAGGATTGGGATGATGGAATGTTATGACTGAGGAAACGAAGGAGAGACAGAGCGAGGGAGCGAGGGAATGAGGAGAGACCCATGCTCTCTCATCGCCTCTTTGTAGCGTCATGCCATGCTCTCTGCTCTGATGCAGTGTGTTGGTGTTGCTCTGATCATGTCATCCCCTTCCGCCATGCTGTGTCTTTCGTCACCAGGAATGACCTGGAGGAGATGCTTCATTGGCTGCGGTGGGCCATGTCAGCATATGAGACAGACGCTGCCGCCCTCGCGACTCATCTCAGGGTGAGCTGCTTAAACAAATGCACCCCTTCATCACAGCCCAGTTCTTCCACATGCTCGTTCAAATGTAGTCGTGCGAATCTTCTGCATTCGTGACGCATGTTCTTGCGGAATTCAAGTGAGATGTGTGGCTGGCTGCATGCCTGCCAGCATGGCTGCACGGCTGCTGGTCAAACCTTGCTTGCACGGGATAAGGGATATATTAAGCAATCATTGCAAGGTGTGGCGAGCGTGGAGAACTCATTGCAAGGCTCATTGCAAGGTGTGGCCATCGTGGCCATCATGGCCATGGTTGGTTGTCATCGTCACCATTGCAATCTGCGTCTGCCTCCATGTCTCACCGTCAACCCCTCTCCATCGCCTCCAGGCAGGCCTCCTGCCCTCCCCACTCCTCCCTCCCATGCTAAGCTCCCCACACCCCACACGCCACACCCGACACTTCACACTTCACACTTCACACGCCACTCGCCACACGCCACACGCCACATGCCGCACGCCGCACCCCACACGCCACACCCCACACTTCACACGCCACACGCCACACCCCCTTCAGATCCCCCAGTCCGCCATCCACAGGCATGTGAGCACGTCGTTAGTGCACCGCCCAGCGCACTTTGTGGCGGTGAGCGCGGACAGGCGGTGCGTGGTGGTGGGCGTGCGCGGCACTCCAGGCCTCCTGCCCCGCTCTCCACTCCTCCCATCCTAATTTTCAACCCACACCCCACACCCCACACTCCCCACCCTCTCAGATCCCCCAGGGCGCCATCCACAGGCATGTGGGCACATCTGCAGTGCACCGCCCAGCGCACTTTGTGGCGGTGAGCGAGGAGAGGCGGTGCGTGGTGGTGGGCGTGCGCGGCACGTCGCACCCTGCCGACGTCCTCACTGACCTCTGCTCGCACGCTGCTGCTTTCGCTGATGGGTGCGTGCGTGGTGTGGCGGGGTCGTGCGGTGGTGGGCTGGTTCTTGGAGACGAGGAGGTGCGGCGATGAGGTAGTGAGGCAGTGGGGGTGTGAGGTTGGACCGCAGAGAACTTTATGGATGTGCATGGGCATAAGCAGCTCAATATAGGCTCCGAATTGAGTGGTCAACCTTCTCGTTAACCAGTTTGGGCCCCTCTCCCCAGCGCTCGTCCCTTTCGCCCCTCCACCCGGTTTGCATTCCCTATCTTCCTCCCTCCCTCCTTCCCTCCCTTCCTCCCTCCCTCCCTCCGCCCGCAGGCATGCACATGCGGGCATGTTGGAGGCAGCTAAGTGGGTGGCGCAGTCACAGGGGCAGCTCATTGCACAGCTGCTCTCGCAGAATCCTGTCAGTTGTCCTGCACTGCACCCTGTCTCCTCCTCCTCCCCATGCCGTCTGTCGTGCTGCTTCAGTAGTGGCGCTATCAAAGTCCATGGCTTTGCAGTTATTGCAGCTTGATCCCTCTCATTTGATTCCTGCCCTGCCATATGTTGCCACCCTGCCATGCTTAACCGTTCGTCTATCACCTCTGCACCCCCCCCCCTCCCCTCCCAACCTCTTGTTTTTTCCCTGCCTGCCTTCCCTCCTCTATCACAACCAATCTCCCTCCCCCCATCCCATCTCATCCCTCTGCCCGTCCGCCCATCCCACAGGGCTATTCACTCGTGACGGTGGGCCACTCCCTGGGGGCGGGCACAGCAGCGCTGCTCGCCATGCTGCTGCGCCACCCGCCCTCCCTGCCCGCCCTCTCCCTCTCCCCGCACCTCCTCCCCCCGCCCGCGCTCTCCCCCTTCTGCTGGGCCTTCGCATGCCCCTGCATAGTGTCCCAGGACCTTGCTGAGACCGCCTTCTTTATCCGCACTGTGGTGCTGCAGGTAGGGTTTAGGATGCAGGGGCAGCGGGATCCTGCATGGTACATGCATGGTGCATGCATGGTACACAGCACCACATGGTGCATGCACCTCTGCCTGCCCCTGCATTGTGTCCCAGGACCTTGCTGAGACTGCCTTTTTTAATCCACACGTTGGTGCTGCAGGTAGAGTAGAGGGGCAGGGGGGTGCTGCATGGAGCACTTTCACTACGTTGTGCTGCATGTTGCACAGCACTACGTTGTGCTAGCTTTGTATGTGCATGCATGCACCATGGAGCACGCATGCTGCATGGTAGGTGACACTCTTGGTTCCTGCTGCTGGCTGCGCGCCATCCTGCCATGCAAGTGCTCTGCCTCTCAGCTCACATCATGCCGTTATGGTGCCACCAGCTTTCTTCTCAAGGGAAAACATATCGTGACAAGATTGTCTCATATCATAACCCTTCCTGATCTTTTTCTCTCATACTTTCCTGCCATCATCTGTACCCCGGGCACTATGCCCTCCCTCAACCCCCTCTCCTCCCCCCCAACCCCCACTTCCATTTGTGTGACATCCCCAAAAGTTTTGTCCTCCCTGCCCTATTGCACCCCCTCCCACTCCACCCTACCCCACTCCGCCCCACCCTACCCACCTGTTACGCACTCCAGGATGACATTGTGCCGCGCATGTCAACTGCAGCTCTCTCGGACCTCCGTACTGAAATCCTCTCCACTGACTGGTGCTCCTCCTCCCTCCTCTCTTGCTCTCTCACCCTCTCTCGAACGGTCCTTCGTATTAGTAGCAGCAGGGGACATACAAGGCATAACAGCATTCAAGACGGCTGCGAAGCAAAGCTAATCTAATCAAAGATACCACAACTGGCCAGCCCCATCCTAATCCAATCCCACCCTTCCTCCCCACGGCCCTACTGGCCAGTGGGGTCTTCAAACAGTTGGTACAGCTGCTCCTCGCCCAACGTGGCAAACGGGCCCTGCAGGCCGAGCTCGTCCGCGGCTATGGCCTCATGGGTCTTGTCGTGGAGGGCATTGGCCTGGGCTCTCTGGGCTCTCTCACGCACTTCTCTGCATTACACACTCCTCTGATTCCCACACTACTCTTCTGCTCGCACACCTCCAGTTATCTCCACTGCACAACTCCTCTCCCCCTTTGTTTCCCAGCCCACACCTTCTTCCTCATCCCTGTCTCCCTCCTCTTACCTTCACTCACTCTCTCCAACCTTCCCCCCCCTCTTTCCCACGTATCCCCTCCTTCCGCGGCCTGCCTCATTCCTCAACAGGGCGGCAGTGGCGCGTGATAACCCCGCAGCAGCGCGTCTGGCATCACTCGCCTCATCCACACAGACAGCCCTCGAGTCGTCGCTCGGCATCTCCCAGGGCCAGCTGCTCCCCACGCTCTCCTCCCATGCTGCCTCCTTCTTTCGCTCTGTCTCTACTCCCGCTGCTTCTGCGGGAGCGGGTCGAGGTGGGGGGCCAGGGGCAGGTGGGGCGGGGTGGCTGGCGTTTGCCGGCCGTGTTGCTGCTTCTGTGTCTGCTGCAGTGGAAACACAAGGTGCGTGGGTGGGTGGGTGGGATGGATTTATGGATGGATGGATGGATGGATGGATGGATGGATGGATGGATGGATGGATGGATGGACGGACGGACGGACGGACGGACGGACGGACGGACGGACGGACGGACGGACGGACGGACGGACGGACGGACGGACGGACGGACGGACGGACGGACGGAGGGATGGACGGATGGACGGAGGACGGACGGACGGACGGACGGACGGACGGACGGACGGACGGATGGATGGATGGATGGATGGATGGATGGATGGATGGATGGATGGATGGATGGATGGATGGATGGATGGATGGATGGATGGATGGATGGATGGATGGATGGATGGATGGATGGATGGATGGATGGATGGATGGATGGATGGATGGATGGATGGATGGATGGATGGATGGATGGATGGATGGATGGATGGATGGATGGATGGAAGGACGGACGGACGGACGGACGGATGGATGGATGGATGGATGGATGGATGGATGGATTGACGGACATCTGAGGATGTGGTAGGGAGCTTGAGGTCCTGCTTGCTGCTTTTCTTCTCTCTCTCACTCCGACCTGCTCTCCCACTCTACCCTCCCATCCCCGTGTGCTGACTGCTTGGCAGCCACGGCCGTTCCCGAAGCCTCTGCGGCCTCTGCAGCCCCGCCGGTGCGCCTGGTGGCCCCGGGACAGCTCTTCCACATTCTGCGCAAACCACCCGCCTCCCTGCAGCAGCAGTTCAACCTGCCCCCTCCTCCTTCCACTCCGCGGCAGCAGCTGGAGGTTGTGGGCGCGACTGGCATGGCAAGGCAAGGAGGGAATGCAGGATGGTTGGCGGCACACGGCGGCTTGACATTGACACCTTCTGTTGGCCTGGCAGGGAGTGGGGGAGGCGGTGGAAGGGCCAAGGCGAGTGGGGAGGAGCAGGTGTTTGTGGAGGAAGAGACTAACATGGAGACGCGAGGGCTGTTTGATGGGGACACGCAGCAGTGTGGAAGAGATGCGGGGAATGTTGGTGGTGAAGCGACTGTGCCTGTGTTGGGATCGTCGATCTCACATGTCGTGGTGCGCGGGTTTGATCCTAAGTCACGGTTTTCACGCATCATTCTGAGCAACAACCTGCTTGCCGATCATAGCTGCAAACTTTATGGGAAAGGGATTATTGACGCCATGCTATGGTGCTCATAGAATTGTGCCAATGATGCGAAAGAATATCATCTGGCACCCGTGTGGTGGTGATCCTAATGGTGGGTAAGAAGAGCAATTTGAAAATTGTAAGACTGTATTCTGATACGATTGTCCCTGTGCCTCCTCAACTTTCATGCTCTGTAGTTCCATCGCCTTGCTGTTGTAATGCGGCAAACTGTCACCACCAATTTCATTACGGCCAAATTCACTGTTATGGCCAACTGCACTTGGTTTGAAATCGAGGGTTGTCAAGGAGGATTTACAGCTCATATGACTTATTGCTAACAAGGTCATGACATCAACACATGACAGAAAAAAAAACATAGGCCCTAATTTATGGGGGTCGGATGAATCAGGAATCGATGTGAAGGGTGAATGAATCAGGTGTGCTGAAATTGGTGAAGGACAGGTGTGCTTCTAACAACCGCTAACTAAATGTTTGTCACCTTCTGTAATCGGAGCTGTTTCTAGGGAGCCATCACATCTCTAGCAATGTAGTATGTCCTTGACTTTCTGGAGTGCGTTTGGGCAAGAGACAAGCTTGATTTTTTCCTTACAGTACAGTACAGTACCAGTATTCTGTACAGTCTCCATGTTCTTCTTCCCCTTTTGCCCCAATCTCCCGCTCTCGTGACACACGCCTCCACGTGCCACTTCCGCCATTTCGGGAAGAGCTTGGAATTCCCCTCACTTGTCAGCGCGCCTCCAGTGAAGCTTCTTTTGGTTGGGGGAATTTCCACAGGAGAGCTGAATCTGAATTCCTGTACAGTTGCTTTTACTCGGAGTTTGGTCGGAGTTAGGGCGTGTAAAATTGTAACGACCAAACGCTATGGTCGATCATTTGGGCATTTCTGGCGATTGCGAGGAATTAGGGTTACGCCGATTGGAGTAGTCACCCCGATATGACCTATTTTCACTGGTAATTTCTGAACAGAAATTTACGCACCGTATTTCGGGACTTGCCTAAACTAATGCTCAGTGGGGAGATATTTTTTCCGTTTACCTAAACCCACTTCTTTGGTAAACACTCTAGTCTAGGCTTCAGATCCCCCTATTCCACACCCCTTTCGAATGCAGGAAAGGGAATTAAATTTTTTTTTTTTTAATTAAGGTGGTGGTTTGGGGTGGGTGGGTGCCCCAAATGCTGACGAATTTTGTGGCGGGCTTCGTTTGAGTGTTACACATTTCGCACTCGCCAGAAACGCCCAAATGATCGACCATAGCGTTTGGTCGTTACAATTTTACACGCCCTTAGGGCTACCGATCAGGGCCCAAGAGCTTCGAAAGCACACAGTGCATGTGCTTCCAGTCGTGTTCTACACCGTGGTTCATTTGAGAATGTCCGAACGTTACCAGCAGCCCTCTTCGTTGCAAACCACCGTCTGATTGACTCCCACCGACATTGCGCAACTGCTCCCACCTCCGAACAAACTTGGACACAGGGAGGTGGCAAGCTGGGGTGTTGCTGAACGTTCGCCCGTTACGAGGTGAGCTGTTCGTAACAGTCCGTAAAGGGATACGCATCAGCAGATAAGGGGTTACCCTTTTGTTGTCTCTGGAAATTCGTTCACAGAAACGGGCCCTCTGATGAGCAAGAGCTGCAGATTTTCACGGAAACGGACTCCTCACCCGCCTCCGCAACTTCCCCTCCTCACGGAGCACCCCCCTCCCGCATTTACGTGTACCCCACATCAGGCGCTCGCTCACCACGCAGCCAGCGCTCCGCACCACGCGGCGATGGGAAGGCAGGTCAAGTCGAATGGCGGGGACGGGATGGGCTCGATCCGACGGCAAGCGTGCTGGCAGAGGCGACGAGCTTGGAAACATTGCGGAAGCATCAGCGCTAGAGAACCAGATGGAGCGCTGATGAAATAGTAGTAGAACCGCTTCCTGTTCAAAGTCCCCACAGACATTAAAACTGACCAGCGCGGATCTCTGCTCTTCAGCATCCTCAGCTTTTCTTTCTTGGTAGAATCACCCCTCAGCTCCCGAACAGACGCGCAGACAGCGTTTCCAGAAGGTAGCAGACAGGTTGAGCAGAGGTGGAGACGACTCGTCTCTTTCCGAGGCGGCATTTCGGAGACAGAATGGACTCCTTTTCGGATGCGGCGCCGAGCTTGCTAGCGATAGCGTCGATTCCGAAGCAGTCGGCGGATGGCATGGAGCAGTGGTCGCTGGAGGACCTGACGCTGGGGCTGTACCGGCTGAGCCTGAAGCACGCCGCCGGGAAAGACGTCGATGCGATCCCCGGCGACGTCGTCCGCAACAGGTGCGGGTGGCGATACGAGGGACGGGGTTGGGGAGGGGGATGGGGAAAGGGATCAGGATGGGTTTGATGTGAGTGAGCGCTAGGAAAGGAGGAGGGTGTGAGGGACTCGGAGGGACGGAGGGAGCGAGGGGATGAAGAGGAGGGGGGCGATGCTTGAGCATCCTCTACTGCAACGCCAGCAGCAACCAGTTTCCCTTGACGCCATCTGTAACTACTAGTAGTACCACCCTACGCGATCCGTTCCGTCTCTCCTACATGCGGCTGAACGAAACCGCATGTCCTCTGTCTCTCCTCCCTCCCTTGCTCAAAACCTGGCAATCATCTAACCAAACGTTCCCCATCAGGAATGACCTGGAGGAGATCCTTCATTGGCTGCGGTGGGCCATGTCGGCATATGAGACAGACACTGCCGCCCTCGCCAAGCATCTCAAAGTGAGACACACAGATTCATTCATTGTTGACATGGCATGGGATGATGAGGTCCCGTTGAAACACACGGTGCGTGTGCGCTTGTTCCTGCCCGGTACTCTTACATTCTCCACGCATTTTCCATCACAACACATCCCCCCCCTGCTATGCCTCCTGCCCCTTCACCTCTGCTACTTAGACCTCCCTCCTCCCACGCTTCCCACTGTGTTCCCCTGATCCTTCCACCACCCGCACTATTTTGGAATCGCTTTTGAGTCGACTCAAATGTCACCTTGGAATTGCTTTTGGGCGCCTTCTTCATGATCAACCACCCGCACCCCGCCCTACCACCCACCTATGGAATTGCAGGTCCCGCCGTCGGCCATCCACAAGCACGTCAGCACGGCCGCGGTGTTCCGCCCGGCGCACTATGTGGCGGTGAGCGCGGAGAAGCGGTGCGTGGTGGTGGGCGTGCGCGGCACGTCGGCCGCGGCCGACGCGCTAACGGACCTCTGCTCTGCCGGAATTCCATTTGGTGACGGGTGCGTGCGTGCGTGCGTGAATGCCTCGCTCGGGTGCTAATCAGTCTGGCTACGGAGCTAACCACGGGTTGCATCATGCATCACCTTCACCCCCACGTCGCTTACTGACCTCTGCTTGCATGATGCTGCCTCGCGTTATCGTCTCTCTCTCTCTCTCTCATGCGCGCCTTTCTCGTCTTTCTCATCTCGTCGCGCCTTCCTCGTTCCCCCAATAATCGCCTCCTCCTCCTCCTCCTCCTCCTCCTCCTCCTCCTCCTCCTCCTCCTCCTCCTCCTCCTCCTCCTCCTCCTCCTCCTCCTCCTCCTCCTCTCTCCGTCACCGATCCTCCCCCGCTCCTGCGTTCGCAGGCACGCGCACGTGGGGATGTTAGAGTCAGCCAAGTGGGTGGCCAAGTCGCAGGGCAACCTCGTCGCCACGCTACTCGACCAGAATCCTGTCAGTCGCCACTCCCCCCCTCCCCCCCCCCCGCCGCCACCTCTCTTCAAGACACTCCCGTCTGTGTGACACCCGTGTCCTTTGAGTCGACTCAAAAGTACTTTTGAGTCGACTCAAAAGTACACCCGTGTCCTCCGCGTTCTTCATATCCTGTCCATGTCCATGTTGTTTGTAGCCCATGTCCTGCCTGCCGTGCATGGCTAGTTAATTGATTCCCCCCGGTCAGCGCCACATATGCTTCTCAAAGTTGTGTAATACACCTCGGTGTCTCTTTTTCTGTTCCACCCTTTTTCTTCCCGCACCACCTCGCTCTCTCCCCCTCTGACGACATGCACACCGCTCGCTCCTACTTACCATCTCTCTATCCGTCCCACCCTTGCTTTCTACCCTCGGTGTCATTGCGTCCATCCCATCCCATCCGATCCCACCCCACCGCATGCACCATGCAGGGCTATTTGCTGGTGACGGTGGGCTACCCCCTGGGGGCGGGCACAGCAGCGCCACACAAGCTTCTCGAAGCTGTGTATTACACATGCACCATGCAATTCCATCCCATCCCATCCCATCCCATCCCATCCCATCCCATCCCATCCCATCCCATCCCATCCCATCCCATCCCATCCCATCCCATCCCATCCCATCCCATCTCTCCGCCCGTCCACGCATCCCACAGGGCTATTCACTCGTGACGGTGGGCCACTCCCTGGGGGCGGGCACAGCAGCGCTGCTCGCCATGCTGCTGCGCCACCCGCCCACAGTTTCCTCCCTCTCCCTCGTCCTGCCCCCGCCAGCGCTCTCCCCCGTCTGCTGGGCCTACGCGTGCCCCTCCGTGGTGTCGCAGAATCTTGCCGAAACCTCCCCCTTTCTCAAGACTGCCGTGCTGCAGGTAACGGGCAGGCATGGGGGTTGATACGCTATGCCTCATGTGATCCAGGGGGGGCGCGGTTCACGGTGCATGGGCATGCTGGATAGCACATGGCACATGGCACATGGCACATGGCAAGGTACATGGCATGGCACATGGCATGGCACATGGCACATGGCATGGCACTTGGCACCGTGGCGCATGGCAAGTGGTGGCGCGTCACACATGACTGAGATGCCAACATGGCGCATGGCATACCGCTCTGTGCTGCTCACCTGACGCCCTCTTTTTCATGCTTAGTTGAGCCTTCCTCCGGTCCCACTTGTATTGAACGGCCTATGCATACACGGCATTCGCCTTATGGTTACCCTTCATGTTATCGATTTGCTGCCTCTGTGGGCCCACGCATCCCTCGCCCCCATCTACTGCACGCCCGCACGCACGCGCGCATGCACACACACACCCACCCAGGACGATGTTGTGCCGCGCCTCTCCCTGTCGTCCATCACCGACCTCCGCAACGAGATCCTCCACACTGATTGGTGCGCCTCCTCCCCTCTCTTCACCTCTCCTCAACTCTGCTTTTCTCCCCTCTCCTCTCCTCTCCTCTCCTCTCCTCTCCTCTCCTCTCCTCTCCTCTCCTCTCCCCTCCTCTCCTCTCCTCTCCTCTCCTCTCCTCTCCTCTCCTCTCCTCTCCTCTCCTCTCCCCTCCTCTCCTCTCCTCTCCTCTCCTCTCCTCTCCTCTCCTCCTCCACCGCTCGCACTCATTCCCACACATTTCTTGCAACCCTCCCGCAGCAGCAGCAATCTCCTCCCCTCTCTCCCACTACTCATGCCTTGCTTGCCTCCTCACCTTCACCTTATCTGCTCGCAACGTCCATCTCACCTCATCCTCTTCCTGATCCACGCAATTTTCTCCTCATCCTCCACTTCTCTCTCTCTCCTTCCCCCCCGTTCCCCTGTGTCAACCCCTTCCCCTTTCCCCCTTCTCCACTCCCCTCCTCTCCCCCCAACAGGGCGGCACTGGCGCGGGATAACCCCGCAGCATCGCAATTGGCATCTCTGGCATCGGGCTCTCAATCCGCCCTGGAGACGTCTCTCGGCATCTCCCAGGGCCAGCTGCTCCCCTCGCTCTCCCCCCAGACCACGTCCTGGTTCAGCTTTTCTCCCGCTCCCGCTCCCGCTCCCGCCGCCGCTCCTGTAGCTGCCACTGCTGCTGCTGGTTCAGAGAAAGGTGGGGCAGCGGGTGAAGCGGCAGCAGGTGCAGCAGGGGCGACAGGGACGGCAGGGGCGGAAGACGGATGGGGAGGGTGGCTGACATATGCAGGCAGTTTGTTCACGGCTCCTGCGGTTGCAGCACAAGGTGGGTGGGTGGGCGGGTGGGTGGGTGCAGTGAGGGGAGAGAATGGTTGGGGCAAGGGTAAGACCATCAGTGAGACGAAACATGAGTGAGAGGGAGGGTGGCAGGGAATGAGCTTTTTCACCGTGTCTCCACCTCTCTGTCACCTTTTCATCGTTGGCTCACACCCACCCAGCTGTTTTTGCTCCACTACCTGTTCTTCCACTTCCCTCTCAAACCAATCCCCCTATGGTGAATTCTGTGCAGCCGAAAGCGCTACCGAAGCCCCTTCTGCTGCATCTGTGCCTGCTGCGGCAACGACTCCTGGTGGGTGCTTTGGCAGATTTGCGGGAGGGTGCGTGAGTGGAATGAGTGACGGGCAGGGGTAATGGGGGAAGAGAAAGATCGTCAGGAGGGTTGCAGGACTGACAGGTTCCACATTTTGTTCAAATCCTGTCACCTTCCTGTCACATTCGCGTCTCCTTCTTGAACTCTTATCATCTCTGTGACTTCCTCTCCCGTCTGCCCTCACATCCCTGTGTGTTGACTGCCTGCCAGCCAAAAGCATACCCGAAGCCTCTGCGGCCTCTGTGGCCACTGCAGCTCCGCCGGTGCGCCTGGTGGCCCCGGGGCAGCTCTTCCACATTCTGCGCAAACCACCCGCCTCCCTGCAGGAGCAGTTCAAGCTGCCGCCTCCTCCCACTGAGCAGCAAAAGCACGAGGAGGAGAAGCTGTTTTTGGCAGAAGCAAAAGACATGTACAAGCGAGGGATGTTGATTGATATGGGGAAACAGCAGCAGAACGGAGACACAAGCGCTGCTAACAGTGACGCTGCTAAGGGTGAAGCCACAAAACGTGAAGCCGCTAAAGCCGATGGCACAACGGTCGTGCCTGGGCCTGCCATGTCGCATGTGGTGGTGTGTGGAGCTGACCCCAAGCCCAGATTTCGGCGAATCATTCTGAGCGATGCACTGCTTGCTGACCATGACTGCAAGAAGTATGGGAAAGCAATCATTGACGCCATGCAATGGTGCGCTTAGCTTTGAGTGGGAATCATGGAAAAAATTTTCTTAGATTTGTGCGTCGTTGTGGTTTACTTCTCTTGTGATCAGGGCCGCTGTCATCAGACGAATTTCATTTGATGGTATGGGAATTGTTGGGCTGAGAAAAAGCCCTTAGGATCTTTGCAGGACTAAACTCTGGGTAGGAACAATGTAATAGCGGAAGCATGTAATGATGAGTCTTTGAACCACCTTGCGCTAGTATGTGAGGGCTAAGTAGATTAATTAAAACAAGGAGATACAAGGTTTTTAAGAGTACAAGGAATATGAAGAGATGCGCTTAACAACTGTTTTACTGTTGCTGTTGCGGTTCGAGACAGTTACGACTCGGGCAACTGCTCGGTATCGAGTCAGTTGTTTGTCCTTGCTGTCGCACTGTATTGTTAAGTCAAAGGTCGCTGACCTTTGACCTTCGCGTAACCTCCAGCGGTTACTTCAGTCTTCAACCTCCGATGGTTGACTCGCCGATGCTTCGTTTGTGCTTCGCTTCGTTTAAGACTTGATGTTTCGACACAGCAGAAGCGCTTAAATCACTTGTTTCCAACACTCCCCTTCGCTTCTGGAGTGTCGTTGCTGGTGACGTGGCCTTGTCCAGTCAGCAGCATGCAGTACTCGAACTTCTGCTTTCCGAGCTTCTTGGTCAAGTAATCAGCTGCCATCTCAGACGTGGGGCAGTAGGACAACTCGAGTCTCCCCTTCTCGATCTCGTCCTTCACGAAGAAATATCGCAGGGCGATGTGCTTCGTTCTGTTCGCGAATCCGTTCTTGTTGGCTATGCGGATTGCAGACTGGTTGTCGCAGAACAGGGAGAAGTTGGGTAACTGGGCCAGCTTCGCTTCTTCCAGCAGTTCGCGAAGGTATAGTCCTTCCTTGGTGGCTGAGCAGAGTGCAATGTATTCTGCTTCAGCTGAGGAGAGAGCAATAAGTTCCTGCTTGCTCGACTGCCAAGAGATGGGCCCGATAGGCTCAAGTCGGTAGATGTAGCTGGTGCGCGAGCGCCTGTTGTCAGAGTCGCCGGCGTGATCAGCGTCGACGTAGCCGATTAACTTAGGTGTTGTAGTTCCGGTCTTGTGGTAGGTTAGGCCGATCGTCGGGGTGCTGACGAGGTAGTGAAGAGCGCGGTCAAGCTCCGCCATGTGTTCCGCTACAGGTTTCTTGAGGTAGGTGGCGAGTTGACTTGCAGAGTATGATAGATCCGGACGACAGGTAACGGCTGCGAAGAGGAGGCATCCCAGCTTTCTCTGGTAGTCGCGTATGCCTGCGGGCTTGAGCGGAGCGGAGCCTTCCTTGTGACTTCCGGTGGTGTCGCGGTATGGCGTGGAGATAGAGGTCAGGGTGAGTCCGAAGCGTTTGGCGATGGTGTCGGCGTATTTTGCGGCGTTGAGGTAGATTGCGCCTTCCTCTTCCTGAATGTTGAGGCCGAGGTATTGCGTGACGGTCGATGACACTGTGAGAGTAAGATCCTGCTTCAGCTCCCCTTCGAACCAGGTAGTAACGCCGTCGGTCGAGCCAATGTAGAGTAGGTCGTCTACATAGACGATCAGTAAGATGTAGTCGGTGCCCTTTGTGAGTCGGTACATGCCATGGTCGTGCGGTAGCTGGCGGAACCCGATGCGGATGAGTCTAGCGTGCAGGTGCTGTTGCCACAGTCTCGGAGCTTGTTTGATGCCATACATGGATTTCAGCAGCTGACAGACTTGGTTGGGCTCTCCGTTGGAGCCATGTGGTAATTCGACGAAGATTTCGGCGTCGACAGGTGCGTAGAGGAAGGCATTGGCGACGTCGATTTGCCGTAGTTTCTTCTTCTTCATGGCGGCGATTGCGAGGAGAATTCGTAGCGAAGTGTGTCGGCTGACCGGTGCGAACGTCTCGGTGAAATCGCGTCCGTGCTCTTGGTCGCAACCGCGTACGACCCAGCACGCCTTAAACTTGTCGATGGTGCCGTCTGCCTTTGTTTTCACACGGAAGACCCATTTTCCGGTGAGTACCGTTTTGTTGCGTGCTACGCCGATGGGAACGACTTTCCAGGTGTTCTGTTCTGTGAATCAAGAAAAACAGGAATGAGAATGACTAAGTGAAAGTTGGGTACAAGAAGCAAACCCTAGAAAACTGTACCCCATATGTGCTACCCCACTCTAGCCTACAGTAGCTATGTCATATAAATCTGACACACCCCCATAGGCAAAGTGGGGGAGAACAAGGGGTCACAAGACCAGTCAAGCAAAGCAAAGCAAAAAACAAGCTCAGGGTGGATCACAAAGTCACCACACATTCCGAGCACAAGTTCAAGGCCACAAGGCCAGTTCACAAGCAGGAGTACACATATATATAAAAAGGCTAGACAAACAAGAGCAGGTATATATATGTGTAACAGTACAAGCAAGGTCAAGAGGTGAGCAAGTGAGGCAAGGTAGGCACAAGGCCCAGCTGAGTACAGAAGCGCTGATGGTCACAAGGCGCAAGTGCCTTGGTGAAGATATCAGCAGTGTTGGCCTCAGAGGCCACGTACGCAAGACGCAGCTGACCACGCTGCTGCAGCTCACGAGCAAGAAAGTAGCGGAGAGCAATGTGCTTCGTTCTGTGCTCCAGTCGCTGCTCCCGACACAAGGCCAGCATGGCCTTGTTGTCTACGTACAGCACTGGAGGAGAACGAGGCAACTCTCCGAGGTCAGTCAGCAGGTAGGTGAGCCAGCGAAGCTCCTGTGCAGCCATGGCTCCTGCGTAGATCTCAGCCTCACAACTGGAGCCGAGAACAGAAGACGAGCGAGTAGCCCGCCACGAAACAGAGCCGGAACCAAGGCTGAAGGTGTAACCCTGTGACGACCGCTGCGTAGCCTGGTCGTCAGCCCAAGAAGCGTCTGCGTGCCCAGTAAGGACCACTGGACTCTGCCCTCCAAGCACAAGCCCCGTGCCCAACGTACTGCACAAGTAGCGCAACACCCTCTTCGCTGCAGCCATGTGCTCCGGTCTGTGTCTCCCAGGAGCAACATAGCGTGCAAGAATGCTAAGAGGGTATGCAAGGTCAGGTCGTGTGCAGGTCATCAGGTACATGAGGCAGCCAACAAGCTCTGGGTACGGGCCACTCGACTCTACGGACTCATCCGAAGGCAGAGCTGAGAGCGAGTGGCGAGTAGGCAGAGGAGTGGCCTGAGGCGAGGAGTACGCGAAGCCGAAGCGCTGAAGGACCTGCTGCACCATGTGTGACTGAGTCAGGGTAATGGTGCGGCGTGCTCTGTCCCGAGTGATCTGCAAGCCAAGGTAGCTGCGCAGTTCACCCAGGTCAGTGCACGTGTGTCTCTTCTGCAGCTCGGACTTCACGTGGGCTAGTCCAGCAGTGTCAGCTGTGGCAAAGACCAAGTCGTCGACGTACACGAGGATGTAGAACGGCGGCAAAGAAGTGTCGGTGCGCAGAAACAGCGACGGGTCGGCAGTAGAGGGAGCAAACCCAAGAGCCGCAAGTGTAGTCCTCAGTGTGTCGTGCCACTCACGCGGTGCCTGGCGGAGACCGTAGACTGGCCGCCGTAGGCTCCACTGGGTGCCAGGAGGAAAAGACCCAGTGAAGCCAGGTGGGCGACGCAGCCAGATCTCCTCGTGCAGGCTGCCCTGCAAGAAAGCAGTGCTGAAGTCAAGAGAGTGTAGCTCGTAGTCACGGTGAGCAGCTACGTGCAGCAGTACCCGAAGAGTGGTCATCTTCGGGGTGGGAGAGAAGGTCTGAAAGTAGTCAACTCCCTGCCGCTGACTGAAGCCACGAGCCACGTAACGCGCCTTGAAGACAGGCGGAGAACCCGGCGGTCGCTTCACCCTGAAAATCCACATGCCACTGACGATGTTCGCCCCAGGAGGGGGAACAGCGTCAACGTAGGTGCCTGTGGACTTCCAGGAAGCCATCTCTGCGTCCATAGCTGCCTGCCACTGAGAGGAGTAGGGACCCTCTATCGCCTCCGCGTAAGAGCGCGGAGTCGGGATGTCAAGTGCATCCGGGTCTCCCTCAGGGGTAAGCAGTACGGACACGAGATGAGGTGAAGCAGCGGCCAAGCACTGGAACTCCTCCTGCCTGTCCTCAAGGACGTCCGTGCCAAGGGCACACTCACCCCCGACGGACGGAGGACAGACAGACTCAGACTCAGCAACAAGACTGGCGACGTAGTCTAGGCGACAGCGAGCAGCAAAGTCGACGAGCTCAGCAACTAGAGCAGACGCAGCAGTGGACTCAAAGGAAGGGTCAGTGACAACCGTAGCAAGGAGACGCGTGACAGTAGGACTGGCAGCGCGAAGAGAGTCCGACTCCGGGTCGGCAAGAGTAGGAAGAGAAGACTCAGGAGGAGAAGGCAAAGGGGCACGCAGAGGAGCAGTGGACGGACGCAGAGACATCCGGTGCGTGCCAGGGACAGGAGGAGGACGCTGACGCGAACCGCGACCACTAGTGCGAGCAGCACGGACAGGCGACGCAGGGCGAGACGCAGGCTCACGACGCTCAGCAAGACCTCCAGTAGGACCAGTGTAGGGAGACGGAGCAGGCAGTGGGGAGGCCGGCTGTAACTGTAACTGCGACGGGACAGGCTGTGGACACTCTAAGGGAGGAGGAGGACCAGTAGAAGGCGGGAGACCAAGAACCTGCTGAAGGAGCGGAACGAAGTACGGCCGAGGCCGCGCGGCGACTCCAGACACAGGAGGGACAGCACCAGCACCCGCAGGGGCAGCACCAGCACCAGTAGCAGCTCCAGCTCCAGAACCCCCAGCAGCACCAGTAGTACCCCCAGCAGGACTGCCTCCAGGACCGACAGCAGTAGCCTCCGTGCCAACACCCGCAGCAACTCCAGCTCCAGAAGTACCCGCAGGTCCAGCAGCTCCAGAACTCCCAGTACGAGCACCTCCGGGACCCGTGGCACCAGCTCCCTCAGAAGCAACAGAACCTCCAGTACCCGCAGCACCTCCAGCTCCAGCAGCTCCAGCAGCTCGCCTCCAGCGCCGGGCAAACC